GAACCTCCATAGAGGCTGTACTAATTTACTTTAGTTCTCTTGTACTAATTTACTAACTGATGTACTAATTTACATCTGTTCTCCATAGTGGCTGTACTAATTTACATTCCCACCAACAGTTTCCAAGTGTTCCCTTTTCTCTACATCTTAACCATCATTTGTTATTACTTGTCTTTTGGATAAGATATGTTTTAAGCGGGGTGAGATAATACCTCATTGTAGTTTTGGTTTGCATTTCTCTGATGATCAATGATGTTGAGACCCTTTTCATATACTAATTTGCCATTTATATGTCTTCTTTTGAGAAACGTCTATTCAGATCCTTTGCCCATTTTTAAATCAGATTATTAGATTTTTTTTTTTCCTGTAGAGTTGTTTGAGTCCCTTATATATTCTGGTTAAAAATCCGTTATCAGATGGGTCATTGCAAATATTTTACCACAATCTTTGGGTTGTCTCTAAACTTTATTGTTTCTTTTGCTGTGCAGCCTTTCAACTTGATGTGATCCCATTTGCCCATTTTTGCTTTGGCATGGACTTGTGGGATATTGCTTAAGAAATCTTTGCCCAGATCAATGTCTTGGGGAGTTTCCCCAATGTTTTGTATTAGTAGTTTTATAGTTTGAGATCTTAGTTGTAAGTCTTTAATCCATTTTAATTTTATTTTGTGTATGGCAAGAGATAGGGGTCTAGTTTCATTCTTCTGCATACGGCTATCCAGTTTTTCCAGTACTGGTTACTGAAGAATCTATCTTTTCTCCAGTGTATGTTCTTGGCATCTTTGGTGAAAATGAGTTCACTGTAGAAGTATGGGTTTGTTTCTGGATTCTCTATTCTGTTTCATTGGTCTATGTGTCTATTTGCATGCCAGTACCATGCATTTTGGTTCCTACAGCTCTGTAGTATAATTTGAAGTAAAATAATGTGATTCTTCCTATTTTGTACTTTTTGCTTAGGATGGCTTTGGCTATTCTGGGTCCACTGTGGTTCCATGTTAATTTTAGGATTATTTTTTGTATTTCTGTGAAGAGTGCCATTGGTAGTATTGATCAATTCTTTAGATACATCTTTCTTTAATACTATGTTGCCAAAGTTCTTCTGAAGAATGATTGTTTTCAATATATTATTATGTTTTGCTTTTGTATAAAATTGTCTGCAATCCTTCTCAAAGCTGCATTTCATAGTTAATAAATGTGAAAATGCTGATACTCAAATTACTCTTCTCTGTAAGCCACTGTATTTTTAACTGGAGGGAGAGTTCAGATAAGCTCCTTCCCTTCCCTTCCCTCCTTTTTTTTTTTGTTTTCGATGCAGTCTTGCTCTGGCAGCCAGGCTGGAGTGCAGTGGTGCCATCTTGACTCACTGCAACCTTCTCTTCTCAGGTTCAAGCGATTCTCGTGCCTCACCCTCCGGAGCATCTGAGACTACAGGCATGCACCACCATGCCTGGCTAATTTTTTATTTTTTTTTAGTAGAGATGGGGTTTTCCCATGTTGCTGAGGCTGGTCTGGAACTCCTGGCCTCAAATGATTCTCTGACCTCGGCCTTGCAAAGTGCTGGGATGAGCATGAGCCACTGTGCCTGGACGATAAGCTAATTTTCAATTCTAATTTTTTAAATATTAAAATGTCTAAATATTAGATACCAGGTATTTTCACAATTATTTTCTGTTAACAGTGTTTTTCTTTGACAAATACTTTTAAATATAACACTTGTCAAGTGAGTTTTCTCTAATTATGATTCTTTTAACCATTTTGTCAAATATAGGTGCTGCAAAATCATAGACTTCTCAATATCATTTTATTCTAGCACAGAATATAATTTTATCCAATTAAAATAGGAGATCCATTAAGAAATGCTTAGGCTGATTCTTCCCAGTATCACTATGTAGACTAAAGGGACCGGTATCACCCTGGCGTTCTGTAGAACCTAACACTGGCCCACTATATTGATGACATGGTATTTGGACCTGACAAATAAGTGGCAATTACTCTGGCTGCCTTGATAAAACACATGCACCTCAGAGGATGGAAGACAAACATACAAAGTTTTAGGAGCCTGCCACCTTTTAAGCTTTCAGGGGTCCGGACATCTTGAGCACACTGGGACATCCTGTTCATAGCAAAGTGTAAGTTGTACATTGCAACTCCTACTGCTAAGAGGTAGCACAGTGCTAGGAAATATTTTTCCGTGCATTTATTGAGTGATATAGATAGCTTCAAGTTTAGGATGGGGCCTAGAGCAAGAAAGGGGTATGCAGTAGGTAAGGCTGAAGTACAAGCCACCCTCACACTTGGGCTTTATATGCCAGAAGATTCATGATACTATGGCATCAGTGATATAAATGGATGCCATGTGGAATATCTGGCAAGTACTTGAAAAGAATCACAATGTACACTTCTAAGGTTCTGTAGCAAAGCATACTATCTGAATCATATTTTGCAAACCATAACTCTTGTATACTGCTGTATACAAGAAGAGAGTTCTATGGAAGAGAGTGTTTGTCATGAGTCATTAATGTGATCAAGTGGCCATAACTACCCACCATGAACTGAATAGTGATAGACCCATCAAATAATAAGTTCAGGTATGTCCAGCAACAATTCATTTGAAGATGGGAAAGGCTGATCCAGGGGCCACTTACAAATCAGTGGCCCATGACTCTATGTCACCTGTCACTGTTGCACTGATGCTTCTCCATCAGCTCATTTTTAGTTTCATGAAGGGTTCCTATAAGCTGCTGATAAAGAGGAGAAACCCAGGCTTGGTTTGCAGTATGTTGGTACTTCTATGTTAGTAGAAGACAAAAATGGACTTTGGTGGCACTACAGTTCCATTCAGAGGGGTTTCTAAAAATTGCTAGGTAATGGAACTCTCAGTTGTCAGAGTTGTGGGCAGTGTACCTAGTCATCTGCTTTTTTGTTGATAGACTCATA